AAATGTATCAGTCGCAATTGAAAAATCGTGGATGCAAACAGTGGCATGATCTCGCATGAGATGCCAGCGATTTATCCTGCGTCACTGTGAGTAATTAGTCAACGTTTTCTCTGGTGATGTTAGTAATAAGATAACAAAAAGTTTTGGGCGATACCTTTTCTCGAATGGTTTGCATTCTGAACAGCCTTCGATTCAACAAAGTTGGCCGCTGGGCGGTGACCCCTCGCGCCCACGACGCAGACTGCGTCTCTCCGCGTGCGTGCTCTCTGTTCATTCGCTAGCCTTGATTAAGCCAAAGCCCCGCCTTCCAACCGCCGATCCGGTTGAATCAAGGGGTAGCGTCGAAAATCACAGAAACTTCCCATCATTTCGTACACGCCGGCTAATTCACTTTTTTAAAACTCTGTATAAAGAAACTTCATACTTGCAGATGTTGCGTTCGGCTCTTTTCTCCTTTAGGCATCGTTCAAACCGCGCTAGCACCCGTCCGAACCGGCCTAACCTGCCGGACTTTGAATTAGGGAAGAAATATGCCTGGAATTGGCATTACGAAGCACGCAAGACTGTACGCGTCGTGAGATGTACATATCAGTCACAAGTAACTCGACGATTTATCACCTTCGCTCCCCTCATTTGGCGAGTTTCGGCGGCTCTGGCGCGATCTACACGATGCCTTACCGCCCGAAGAACCTCAGAAACGATACGAACCGTCGTTCAGCATAATAACCAGCCTTCTCTCGAACAATGTTTCTATCTAAAGTGACCTACCACAGTAGACATACATTGACCTCGCCAAACGGAAGTAAAATGCGTTCTGCTCAGACAATCGCAAAGAAGCTCCGGAGCAAACTGAGCTTGTATAACTTCCGGAGGAGCGGATGCTGCTATTGGTTCGTGTGGCATGAGCGTGTGGGCTTTGCCACACGGACCAATAGCAGCGTCCGCTCCGGAAGGTCTACAAGCTCACTTTGCTCCGGATCTTCTTTTGCGATTGTCTGAGTGGGATCTCATCTGATTACTTGTCGAACCCCACAGATATTCTACCAGAATGTGATCTAACGATTTCCCAGCCCTTCCGGCAAACAAAAAGGTGAAAAGGGAGAACCATCGTAGACTGATGTTCCAAAGTCCAAGCAACAGGTCAGGAAGGACTCAGGACTCGTTCCATCAAGAGAATATTTTGAGTGTGTCTGTTATAACTGCAATTCGAATCATGCAAAGGTGCCAGATTTTGACAGTCATTCATAGCCACTATTGGCTGCTCAAAAAGCCTCGGTTATTTGTTTAGCTTCTTGCTTAAATTGCACAGCAATATTAGACCTACCAAGGCTTGCTGCTCATTGTCAGCTTATGTGGTATGGGAAACTTCACTCCAGGGGCTGTATGCATCAATCTCCCGTTTTGAAAGCGGGCGATCATTTTCAGTAGAAAAATGATTGCCCGGCCGGGTTGGCTGCCCGACCAGTAATGTATGAAGCTGTGGCCAACCCGGCCGGGCAATCATTTTTCTATTGAAAATGATCGCCCGCTTTCAAAACGGGAGATTCATGCATTCCGCCCCAGGTGAAATGAAAGCTAAAGAGATCTTGTGGATGTGTGCTGCTTATGTGAATTGTCATCTGGCACCATCCAAGATAAGGAACATGCTGTGTCTTGCTTGAGAAATACAATATTTCGTAAAACGAAAACGACAACAGCAACGAAACATAATAAACATATCACATTGCGCAAGTATTTTAGAAGCAAATTTTTAAAGCAAAGTACTAAGAAAAATCAAATTTGGTTGAATGCGATAACAACGAAAAAAACTCATAAACAAGCCTATTTATAGCTTCCTCTAAGGCCCCGGACAGACTTCAAGCATTTTGATCGTCGCGACTCAATCGCCGACATTTCCATTCATTTTCATTTCACATTCAAAAATTTCGGGCTGGAAAAGTATCACAACCGAAATGCAAGTTGATCGGGGTACTATTCCAGATAAGTTGACCCAAAAAATGAAAATCGTGAATTTCGCTAAAACTTCGTCTAAGGAGGTTCTTTGGTACGCTGAACACGATGATGTTTATTTCGTGCGACAGCGCCATCCGGTGGAGTTACGGTAGGATTACGGTAGGAGGTCAAAATTGCGGATTTGCCCGAAATCTGGCCCAGAGGGGTTATTCGACCCGCTGATGCAAAATATCACATTGATTTTGAACCGTAGCGTCATTTTCTCGAGTTACGGTAGCTACACGGTAACGGGTATAAAACATAGTTCATCCCCAAACGGGTGTATGGCGATTCGGATGATCGTGAAGCTTTGCACACATGACCACCGCCACGCGCTACACACTCTGCTGCGGCTTTTGCCTAAGCAAAGCACAGGGGAAAGACATTTGCCGATTTGTGAGTTTGACCCCTACCGTAAACCTACTGTAACCATGCAGGGAGATGTTTTCGTGCGGAGAAAGTGTGACATTTCTAATCAGCATGACGAATAACCCCTCGCTGCAAAGTTACAGCGGATTTTGAGATTTTGACCCCCTACCGTATACCCACCGTAACTCGAGAAAATGACACTACAGTACGAAACCCATGTGTTATTCGGCGTCAGCGGGCCGAATAACCCCTCTAGGCCAAGTTTCGGGCAAATTCGTGATTTTGACCCCCTATCGTAATCCTACCGTAACTACACCGGATGGCGCTGTCAAATAAACATCATATTCGTGTTCAGCGTACCAAATAACCTCCCTAGACGAAGTTTTAGCGAAATTCACCATCTTCACTTTTTGGGTCAACTTATGTGGAATAGCGCCTTGCAAGATCGGCAAGGAATGATGTTGAGTCACGACGATCAAATCGCGTGAAGTCTGTCCGGGGCCGTGCAGGGAATGGAAGCCAAAATGAGGAAAGATATTTTAAAGCATAAAAAAGTAGTTAAAAGACGTAAAACTCTCTCTTTCCTTGAAACTAGCATTTTGTCTGGGAAAATACACGTTTTGTAGGGTGTAGGACGATTCGCACGACCGTGCTTTCCACACAGGACCACCGCCGCGCGCGACACACCCTGCGGCGGCTTTTGCCTAACAAGGGAAGGATACTTGGTGACCGTGGCCTTTTAAAACGAAACGTACACCATTAAATGTATCTTGAAGCGCTGATTCCAAATCTGCTTTCGGTATCTGCTGTGCGCTTTTCCGAAAGAAGTTATGAACATTTATTTACACCAAAATTTGCACTGTTTTTGATGCAGGATTCACCAATATCGTTAAAATGTTCGCTTACGTACTATAAAAGAGCGTCCAAATAAAGTAAAGTTTTACGTTAAGCTTAGAAAAACTGATTCCGATATATCGGAGTCTAAAAAGCTTGGATTCTGACGCTTCTGACTGCCTAAATCTCGTAAAATAGATGTGGAAAAAAGTCCATAATTTCGTTCAGAGAGTCGCACAGCAGATAATGAACATGGATTTGGAATCAGCGTTTCAAGGCGCACCTACTGGTATACATTTCATTGCAAAAGGCTACTGTCACCAAGTATCCTTCCCTTGTAAGCAAAACAGGGGGAGGAAAGGTTTGCGGCGTGCATTACATGTTAAGACACGACAAAATCAGGGAGACTCTGGAGACCGCCCGTGCGGAAAGACCGTCTCCCCTTCCCGTGGCCCTGAATACAGTTGTAAAGTCCAGATAGTTCAACACCCCCAAAAAAGCCGATTCTTGGGGACCCTCTCTTCAAGAAGCGGACGAGTTTCGGATTGCTCGTCCCCATTGCATGCCAGCGGGAGGAGCTGCAACTGCACGGATGCCGTTGCATTGCAGTATGTAGTGCAACTGCAATGCAACTGCAATGCAACCGCACACTTGCGTGAGCACTCGTCCTCAGCGGTGGTTTGTGATACGAAGGGGCAGTTTGTGATACGTATCACAGGCCCGTATCTCCTTTTAGAGGCCACTTCAAAGATTTGGACCAACGCAGATCGGATACTCATGGGCCCCTCTTTACAACTATATGCTAACCTGGGTGGATGGATCTTGCCCGGACGCTGCCTCTAAGCACTGCCAATATTTCATATCTCTCCAAAAATGTTCGACACTGTGCAAAAAACTTAAAGCAGATTTTTTTCATGATTTCATTTTGTATTTGCACTAAGACAGTGACGCATTGCTAGAAGTTCATGCATAGATAATCAAATGTAACAATGGTCAGAGGGGAAATCTGCTATTTTTCTCGCAGCACTTTGAAGGCTTACTTGATTAGAATTACTGAATAAGAAATGGTCGTCGACCGATACAACCGAAAACTCGAACATTCAACAAATTTGTCGTACACCAAAGGTATTTTAAATCATCAGTCTGTTTCTCGTTTCCTATCATGACGAGCTGAACAAGTTTTTCTTCAGTAAGGTGTACTTCCAATTTCCACCAGGGCTACTCAGCAAAAGTATGCGCAAAAGGCCGTTATTCTCCAGATTCCTAAAATTTTCAGGCACAAACTAAATCATTGTACGCCTGTGGACATTCGGAAGGAATCACTGCGCTGCATATCGACTCTAATTGTATAGCTGGCAGACAGCTGGAGCAGATGTTTATGGACTTGTAGAGTAAATTAGAAGCAAAGAAAAACAAGCTCTATTCTTTTCCACAGCTAATTCGAGAGCAAGAGGTCATATCCCTTTTCATAGTGGCTACATAGAGATGATGACAGATGACTGAGAAAAATAGACGCAAATAAATGCTGAATTCGAATAGGTCTCACAACAGATGACTTCCTGCAACAACAAAAACATGACGTACTGTACTATAGTGGAATTTTTCATGTAGCTACAGAGGTTCTGAGGTCATTTTTATAAAAAAGAAGTAGAACAAGAAGAAGAAATGTTAAAACAACCCATACAAGAAGGGAAATTCATAGCTTTGATCTTTCACGGATGAAATCCCATTTCAAATTCGCGCAATTATCGATCGAGATCAGGGCGACTGAACATCTAAGAAAGTTCCAGACGAAACGCTGCGTCGTTTTCGCGCGTTCTGTTCATTTGTATTCACTACCTTGCCTCTAGGCTGTGACTCGTTTGACTCGTACAAGTCGTGATGTCGTCTACCGAAGTCGTTGCTGAACAGCTGCAAGAAGCCGTCTCTCCGGTGAAGAATGTCGAGGCAAAGGTAAGTCCTTTCATATTTATTGAGAAGAGTTAAAAGACACCACAAAACGCACTTGAAGAGTACACTCGAATGCAAAGGTTGATTGTTTTTATCGGGAGACCATTCGAAAGAACAGACAGCTGCATGAAGGAAATGAAGATTCAGGCATAGCGGTCTACATACGTAGATGAAAATATAGTTGGGGAGAGAATTCTTTCTTGAGTCAGATGTATGATAGTCTAGCATTCAAAACACTTTGGAGTTGGTAATATTAGAGCCGTAACCAAGATAAGCTAGGGAATCTGTTCACATTTTTTAAGTAGCTAAATTCTGGAAGTACTGGGAGGGGTTGTACTCGACAGTTTTTTTTGGGTTCTTCGCTTCGGCTTGGGTTCGGACTAGTCATAAAGTACAGTTTGAGAGATAAGGTTTTCCGGCTGCTGGTTAGATTGTCAAGTTTCAGAGTATTTGATTTTCCAATTTTCATGTTATTCCGATCGTTTAGGAAAAGCCGGAAAGCCCCCGCAAAAGGAGACTAACTGGCGACGAGGCGGATATTGCTGAGAAGACCGTTGCGAAGAAGCCGCACACTGAGGACGAGCAACCAAAAGAGAAGGAAGAGGAAGCACCACCCACAACCGAGAAAGAGGAAGTCAAAGATGAAGAAAAGAAGAAAGCGGTTGTGGAAGGACCAGCTGAGAAAGAAGAAGCTGTGGAGGGACCAGCTGAAAAAGAGAAAGGAGATGAGGCAGCTGGTGAGAAGGAGGCTGAGACAGCCGGTGAGAAAGAAATCCCTGAGGTTGTTGCGGAAAAGGAGGAAAGTGTCGAAGAAAAGCAATCGTCCGAAGGCAGCGCCGATGAAGCCATTTCTGAGGAAAAGGACGCCGAGAAGAAAGAAGGTGCTGCCATGGAGGATGCTGATTCGAAGGATGAGGAGACAGGTGAGTTCCTTCTTTTGAGTTGGTTGAATCTTGTAGTTTTTTATTTATTTCAGCTGACAAGAAGACCGACGTCGAAGGTCCAGCCGAGCGCGAGTCCGAAGCAGAAGTTGCTGAGGCTTGAACTAACCTGTAATCGATACTCATCGTTCATGCTTTGTGTACAATATTATTATACGTGTAATCATTCGGTTAAGGCATGCTGTATCTGTGAATAAACGTTGTCTTGTGAGCGAGACTTCTACAACGACTTCTACACAGTTTAAGCACGATTTTTTATTGCAATAGATTATCTCTATCTGCCGACAGTCAATCATTTGATATTATTATGCCATTCAAATAACAGGGCCATATTCTGAACCGTTTGTTTATCACTGGTAATATTGCATCGGCGAAAGCGTTCTGTCAGTGCAACCACACGATCGCCAATTTTGAGATCCTATAATTACAATTCTGGTCCTTGAAACAGTTATGGTATCGAACGAACCTTGACTTTTATCATCTCATCAGTGGACAACATCGAAAGTGCTTGCGAAGTCTGGGATGGAGGTATGCCTTTTGCAAAGGCTTTCATGACTTCATTGTAAGAAGTTTGGAGAAGATTACGGGCCGGATCGCTTAGGTTCTACAATGATGGGGTTTTTAGTAGTTCTTGATCAGTCATTGTGTTCAAAGCGAACGACACTTTTCCCTTTTCTTGGATTGTATCATCTGTCGTCGATTCGTTGACCCGCGAGAGCACAATTTGTACAATAGCTTTACTGAGGCAAGCGTTCTATCTCTCGGCGCGTGCTCAGCGGTGATGTACAGTCCCTGCGGTTAACGAATCAGCTATAGTGTGAGCGGGTTACTGTATGAATAACGAGAAGCGGCTCCTTTTGTAGGTTGAGCGCGTTTACACCCCCACGCAAGTATCGTGCATCCCCCAGAGTTGTTCCCACAGGTACTACCAAGGTAGCTGCCTTTCGATCGTTTTAACATGTCAAGTTCGAATAAGCGCGTCAAATTTGCTGGAGTTAACATGTTGAAAGATTAAAAGGCAGCCACGTGGATGGTACCTATGGGAACAATTCTAGGGGATGCACCATAGGGTTCCTTCATACTTCGCCGCAGTCGCAGTGAGATAAGCTCGCTCGCTGTGAGGGAACCTCTCGGAGAACACGAACGTGCAGCAAAGTATCTAGATGTATAGTCGATTCGTTGATCGCACGGATTGGACATCGTTGCGGAGCACGCGCCGCGAGGTACGCTTGCTCCAGTACAAATTCGCCATTGTACAGATCGTGCTCTCCCAACATTTTAGCCGCGCCGCGCGTGGTCCGCAGCGTTTGAGCAGTCTGTGCGGTCAACGAGTTGACGATACATCCATAACGGGCGAAGTTGTGCTGCCGTGAGCGTACATTTTCACTACGACTCCAGCGGCGCACGCCGCAGGAGGCGGCGTGCTGTGGCGTGTTGCGGCAGGCTGCTGCGTCCTGCGGCGTAGTATAAAGGAACCCATAGGATTAAAGGCAGCGTCCAGGCAAGTCTGGACACATGGGGATCTCACGTGGATAGTAATTTTGGGGCCCTAACTAAGCCACTGCCCAACCGGCAGTTCAGGTAGTGCTCTAACGGCTGAGATATTCCCCTTGAAACTGGACCCCGCGATCGTATTTCGCATGGATTCATGGCGCAAACGTGTGTCCTGGCGCGGAACTGCCATGAATCCATGCGAATACGATCGTGGGGTCCAGTTTCGAGGGGAATATCTCAGCCGTTAGAGCACTACCTGCGCTGCCGCTTGAGCAGTGCCTTAGTTAGGGCCCCAAAGGCACTTTCCACGTGAAATCCCCATAGCTCCAAATATGCCTGGACGCTGTCTTTAAAGCTGAGCTCTGGCGACTTGAACCAACGTTTCTTTCCGCTTTGAAATTGTTTCGCGCTGAGGTTGTCTTCTGCTTCAGATCACTATTATGGTTATGGTTCAGGGGTGAGCTATATATTTTGAAGTATCTTCACCTTTGCAAATCATATCTTGAAGTTGACTGCATATGAAACTCACAGCGAATTTATTTAGATAAAATATCCGTTGAGCATTTGTATCGTTGAGATTTTCCATGAGATTAACCTGATCCTTCTCGCTGCTTGTCAAATTCGAAGCCACTAAAAAGGAAATATCTTGAGCATTGCTGGGCAAAAATCTTGCTTCTTAATATCGTATGTTATAGGCAATTGTTCAGTGTTTATTATCTAGATAATTATGAAGGTTGTTGGGAATGGACATCTAATTCAGAAATGATGCCTAGGACCAACCTTGCTGTGCCACCTGTATGGCAGGTTGATAGCCATTTAGAAATCCTGAAACCGCGCTTACTTCATCAGGATTGCAGAGTATTTGAGCCTGTAACACTGTTATGTTCATACAGGTATCATTCAAAATTTTCCAATGAATTGTTCATTTTGTTAGTTTAGTTGTTTTTGAGTTTTTTTGTAGATCGCTCTGCTACATTTTCAAATTTTTGGGGTAATAATTATTTTATCAATAAAATTTGTACGATTTTGTGAAAGAAGAAAAGAAACCTCGGTTCGCATAACTTCAGCGATCTTATCCAACCTTCCCGAGCCCACATAGTTGTCCAGAGCACGATTAAAGCTTGGATTTACAGCACAAGCTAGCCGTTCTTTTCCGAAACAGGAGAGCAAGTCAGCAGAGTAATTCTGAAAATTCGTATTCCCATTTGCGTGAAAGGAACGTTTGACTACCTGATAAGTTGGTACATAGGAGGATGGTGTAGATACTGCAGATGTTGATGTAAAAAATGCTCCAGGAGTAGTCGTTGTAAAGAAGGCTACAGGAGTGATAGGTTGGAGAATATTGGGTGAAATTGTCGTAACCTGTGTAGGACTGGCGATGGTAGCTATTGATGAGAATGGGTTAGATGTCGTAGTACTGGATCTTTGAGCTTGAACTAGTAGAAAGACTATCAAAATCAGAAATCGCATGATTTCTTCAACTCCCAGAGGGTCAACCCGAATATTTAGCAATATTGTCGTTCACCGACAAAAGTGGCGATAATCTCGGCACCGCCAAAATGGCGTAATGAGGCAAAACACGCTAGAATTGCGAAAAACAGTCAAATATCGACAACGATTTGACGAGATTGTCACTCGACATTTCCGACGATCAATTATCGTGTATTGTATAGCCTCAATCCGGATATTGCGCAGGTGAAAGTGAGTTTGTGATTGACAGTTGTATATCGTATATGCACATTTAACGCTATAATTGCGCTTTTTGCTCTATCAGTTGTAAATAGAAAACAACAGGCATACAACAACAACAGTGAGAGATAGTATTTTGCATCTGTTCATATCTGAGTGATATAAAATCCAAACAAGATTTACGCGATCGACTCCTGCTCTATAGTTCATGATTCTGCATCAACGCTGAAAGTCTATGTCAATGCTTATAGGCCTTTTCTGTACATCGAATTTCGCGCGTCCTATCCGCAAAGTCTAGCGCCACTTGCGCAGGTAATGATCTAATGTGATAAGATAGGCACACGCCATACCTGATCCGCTTGATCAGCTAAGGTAGGTGCCAGACTAAGCGACTATTTTGTTCAGCTGCAAAAGGCACGCAAAATTCACGTCTGCTGCGTAATGTCTGCTGCTGCTGAGGCCTGCTTCAGCTGCAGGTCCCGCGCAGAATTAAAGTTAATTCTGTGCGCTTTTTGCAGCTGAACAAAATATTCGCTTGCTCTGGCACCTACCTTAGTCCACTTGATCCGCTTGATCCTACATATTAATGAAAAACCCACGTTCACTAGTTTGTCATTTGGCACCGCGTAGGTGAACAGAAGATTTTGTACGGTTGCGCAAAATCGCTATGAACGACGCCACATGACAAGTCGGTAAGCGCGCGTTTTTCACAAAGAGGATCAAGTGGATCAAACAGACCAATTGTGGCGTGTGCCATACGTCCAAACGCGCCGTGAGACCTTTCAGAGCTGAAACACGAATTTCCGTGTACGGTAGAAGAAAAACCAATACGCATTGACATAGACTATGAACGCCCTCGAAACCTCTGGTAGGCGCCAGACTAACCGATCGTCCTCCTTCAGCAGGACGCGGCGCAGTTACTGTCATTTGGTATCATGTTGTAGGTAAATCAAATCTGCGTGCGCGACTCCGCTACAACAAAAATTTTTCACTGTTAAGGCCTTCCTATCCTACTCTCACCCTGCGAGGCTTTTTTTATCACCTCTCTAAAACCACTGTTGTTTGAGCATCGTAGACGCCACTTATATTTTCGTCCTACATGATGCCAAATGACATCACCTTATTAGTCGCGCAAACTCCTTCTGAAGCAGGCAGTCGGTTAGGTACAGTCTGTCCCAATCGGGATCAGGCCGAACCGCCGGCTGAATTTGCGCGCTCGCAACGCTAGGGTTCTGCGCTGCATACGCGCGCTGTCGCAGAGAGCGAAGAGATTGAGGAGAGAGCAGACTGGCTAGCCGTAGACGCGACGCAATACCCTAGCGACACGGGTTCGCGCCATGTTAATCTTGGCCTGGTTGGGATTGAGGCAGACTGTAGGCGCTAGACTAGGCGACTATTTTGTTCAGCTGAGCGGCAAAATTAACGTTAATTCTGTACGCCTTTTGCAGCTGAACAAAGTAGTCGCTTAGTGTGGCGCCTACCTTAGTCTGGCGCCTAACTCTGCAGCCTGAGTCGCGTAGGCCGCTTTGGCGACTCATAGGTCAGTAGGACTTGCTAACCACAGCTGCCATCATTCTCTTCCTTGAACAACGATCTTTGTACCAGCGGATTTTTTCCCAAAAACATGCTTCAACCAAACTACTTACATATACATAAACTTCATGTCAATCTCTTTCGCTTCGAGATAATTTGGATCGCGTATACCAGGACTGGTCCGTCGAGTAGATGACTGCACGGACTGGCCATAGATTGCGTAGCCCGCATCGCTGAAACTCGGTCGCGCCGCGCGTACTCCGCAGTCGACGGATAGTCCGTGCGATCGACTCTACAATATCGTCTATTGTTAAATTTTTGAATAATTAGTTTGGGCTAATTACTCCTTGTTTTTTGGATATGCAAATCAACAGTGTTTTGTAGATACGTTGGTATGGTTCAAATAAAACTGCTTTTGAACGAGCTGATGTTGTAGATGTTTTTACGTTCCGAAAATATCCATTGAGGGGCATATTGTCCACAGAACGAGATAGGAAAATATCTGTTATCTCATGCACCATTTTATTTTATATTTTTCTACATCGTTTTGTGGACAACATTTCCCCTCAGGAAGTATTTTCGGAACATAAAAACAGTGACCTCTTCATTCGTGGGTAATTTTTCCTGGTACTCCAATTTTCTGAGCAGGAAAAATGTGCTCACAAACATGGTGACTAGGCTACTAAACTTGGAATCCCTTAACGCTTGTGATTTGAGCTACATCTTTTAACCGTGTTGAGAAACAGCTGCCTGGCGAACTTTCTTCCTTTTTGTGCACATACAATTCTAGAATATGCCCCTGTTAGTAGGCCGATATCAAACTAAATCTGTAATAATTGACGCGGTGTAAAACTGGCTCACATTATTCATGGTCATAAGCTAGCAGCCTCATTCGCATGTGCAGGCGAAATTAAAGTCTGATGAATGGTCTTTTCTCATGGAAGGGCAATCACGAGTTTTGATTTTTATAGTCTATTTCTTAGATGAAAACATTGATACTGATTTAGTGAGTCATTTCTTGTGTCTATGAAAGATGTAGCGCTCAGTGCTTTTTACTATCGTCTATGAGAAGACCATTCCACACATCGGAAAGGAGCAGAAGTGGTTTTCGAGTGGCTAGTCCGCTAAAGTCAACGCTCCACAGAAACATCACTTGACGCTATTTTGTTCCCTTATTTCCTCCGTGGGCAGAGCCTCCTCACCAATGGGCCAAAAATTACGGTTGGGCGAGAGATTAGTCGGATTTTTCGTTTACAAATGAGTTCGAAGTGCTGCTCGAACAAACAGCATTGATTGCAGAATAACTTTCCCACGTTAAATTATAAATAGTATGACTTCTACAACGCAAAATCATAGAGAATCTTCATTAATTCGAATGTAAAATATAAGGCGAAGAACAGAGTCATGGATGAAAGCTTAAGCAAAACTGATGTTGACCCAACAACATTAGGCCATACACCGATTAATAACGACCCGTACACAAGTGGCTGCGGTTGGAGAGGTACCCGATAACTTGACCTTGGCTCACTCAAATCCTCTGAATTTTCAGAATTTGAGAATAAGTGAAAAAGCACGGTCCTATATGGACTGAGTGAACAAAGGTTGGGCTAAATTCAGGTCCATATCTCAGCGAACCCATAAAGCAAATGATATAGTCTCCATAAGGGGACAATTTCGATAAGAAACGAAAAAATGAACATGGCACAATGGGCATCTACTCATCGTAACAAAAGGGGTTCGTACGAGTTGATTACCATTTAGCTAGTGGAAACAGAACACAATCAGTGAGCATAAACACATAAGAGATTCGAATAAGGGGATATAGAAGAATTACAGAAGAGAGCAGATGTGTCCAGTATTTGGGAAGAGAGGAGGAGGGGCAGTTTGGTGGTTGCAAAGAAGTGTAATTAATAGGCAAATGAGTCAAGAACACTGCGAAGCTAGAGAGAATCATGTAAAACATTCAATCACTTACATCACAGGTATTTTTACCGGAACTCAAAACTCTCGCACTCGTAGCTGACGAAACGAAACCTAATAGAGACATTGGGCGACACACTCGCTCAAACTATGTGACAAGCTATAACAGAAATGGATGTACGAAGTTGTGGGGGGGGGGATCGTGGATATATTCCAGGATTTAAGTATTAAAGAAACAGATTCGTCAATATTGTTAAACGAGAACGAGAAGAATAAAAGGCATAAGAAATAGATCTAGGTCGTACAGAAGACAATAAATAGATAGTATATATGTAAGATAATTTGAGCTATTTTGGACCCAGCAGCAATGCTGCGTTTGCAGAACTTTCGCACATGCTGCTATACGGTTTGAACGTCTTTGTTTACTATGTAGAACTGATCTTTCCGTCCACACATTCCAACTAGCACCGCTGCATTTTCTATGATCACGTTGAATGGAATTGTCATGAGTGCCCCTGATAAGTAGAGTGCCAGTCGCCAGGTACTATTCCTGAAAAATTTGCAAATATTGATTGCCCTGTAAAGCTATCACTGTCTGCCAAACTAGATAGATTATTGTAATGCTCAACTGTTCAACTTTCACGAACATACGTCTCGTCCGTCTCCTGCGTCTGTCTAGACGACTGGAGACAAGTAAAATATTTGAATAATTAGAGACACTAGCAACCGGTTTGGCAAGCAAAAAAGATTGCACACGAACTATGAACTCTGCTCAAAACTTAGAATCATTTACTGTTGACACATTTTCCTCTCAAGACTAATAAGACAGTGATCAAAACTCATAAAATACTTCCACAGATCAAGACCTCTGCAGATATGCATATCGTAAAAAGAAAGACACATAGCGGGTCATTTGTTACTTCGTTTCTGAGCTTGCACACTGCGCGCGGCAATCGACGATACCCTACTAATGACTACCAGCAAAACCTTTTCGACGGAACACTGTAGAAATGTGTACTACAAATCAAATCATGTCCAGTTGAACCAAAAGAGAAAAGAAGAGAAAAATCCCTCTAATTTGAGAAGTTTCAGTCTTACATGTCGTGCAGTAACGCGCGCCCTGTGCAATACGCATACCAAGTTACGAATGGACTTAACGATAATCAAACAGAACTTAGAAACTTCTAAAAGCTAATCATATACAAAGAAAGGAATTTGTGTGAAGGAAAATGAACATACCTGTATTTATGCGAAAATGATTTCACCACTCCAAATATATACATGTATAGATTTATAGCACCAACAAATGATAATGCGAAATCGAATGGAAGACAACGCGGAAGCGGAAATAGAGGGCAGAGGAACACCTAGAATACTTTTTTACCCCTGGAATAAAGGAGCAAGCTTGTATAATACCTGAAGTGATGTTATCGGCATCGTTGCCCATGCATATAACGACAAGGCAAGCAAAGCCTAAATTCATGTGATGTGGAAAGGACAACAAAGTATACGAAAAGCTTACCTTGTGTGTTATTGCGATTCTTGGCGAATGGACAGTCAGGAGAATGCCCTGCAACCAACGCTTTCGTTGTTGCAAGAAGTCCCACATCGTAAAAGGACTTTTCTCGTGCATCTCGCCTAGAATGCACAGTTTAATAATAAATTTCCAGTTCAGTAAGAGAGGCAAAAGTATAATTTGAAGTGGTAAATACAGGACAAAACCACGACAAACTACAGCATCCAATAAATCTTTAGAAAGTACAACTAATGTCCATGAAAGAAGGACATACCTTCTATAAAATCGAAAGTATACCCGTGTTTCATCGCGATCATCGAGAAAAAACAATCTTCCGCTATAGATCCCTCCATTCCGTGATCATAGGAGACATTTCGTTCCGCGGCAACCTTCAATGACTGATTGAGCACTTTTTCGAAAAATCACCTTATATCGTTAATCATTTCACACCCACTTGTGTAACGACGAATGAACCTTTCCAACCAAACAACGGTTTGTGGAACAGTTTAAATTGCAGTCGCAGTTTGCCCATATCATCAGCTACTCTTAAAAACGAAGAGATAGATGATTGGTTTGCGACGTTTCACATAGGCGAATGATGTCAACAAAAAACATGAAAACCGTACCGAAATGAGTCAGACAATGTCGTCAGCCAATTGACAATTTCACCGCTAGCATAAGTGATTACACCTTGGCCAAACTGGTGCCGACCGTCCTCACAGAAATTCAATATCCCACATATCTGCAAAACGAAAACCTTGTGATCTGAAAATAACACAGGTAAGAGAATATACAAATATTTGGTAAGTAGTACACAGAACAAACTGAAAACATGAACCAGTCATGCAGCATTGACATAAGTAGCCGCTGGGATAAGTACCCAAACAAGGGTGGTACCAAGATGATTTGGGATGGAGTGCTCACAACCGAACATTTCGCGTATGCAAACTTCGACGATTGCAATAAAAACAGCTAGGACAGGTTGTTGGGAAAATAGTGCCTCGCCATAAGCAGAGGTATTCTATTTGCAAAATTTTTATAAACACTTGATCCTCTATGGCTAATGAGAGCGGTACGAAGATAATCAGTGAACACCGGTGACAGTTGAGACAAGCGACTGGTATAAACGAAGGGGATAGTACCATAAAACACATCATCGAGCGAGAAATCAAAGCAAAGCGTAAAAGAAGAACAGGAATTAAAACCTACTGCATTCGTGGTCAGTAGCGTCTCTTCATCCAAATGTACAATCCAATCATTATTCTGAACAAAAAAATAGAGAATTGAACTTCGGTTTCGTTACAATATACATACCTGGAGGATGTTGACATCGTCTTCGAGACAATATTGTAAAGCACGAGCCTTGAATTTTGCACCGCTCTTCGTTCTAGAAAGAAGAGATAGCAGTCATTATCAAACGCAAAGAACGAAATGAAGTAAAAAAAGACAAAGTTAGAAGTGGTAACAAAAACCGTATGATCCACAATAATCTACCGATAAGATGTTGGCACTACAACTTCTCGTACTCGTGGTTGAGGCGGTAGGTGAATAGCATTATCAGTGACTACCTAAAATTCAAATAAAAAAATTAATTTGAAAATGGTATAATAAGAAAATGATACGAATGGAAAGAAACGCACTTCAAAGATAAAATTCTCCATTCCCGCATCGTAACATGTCTTCATATTAGTTGCTATATTCTCCTGGAAAACTGTATGTTAGCTTTGTAACACAAAAGTTGCACATTTGATCCCTAAAATCTCATCAAATTTGCTGAATTGTCCCCCAATGTCCTCAGAAATGCAATCGACATGCGTCCGAAACGCTTCTCGAGCTAGCGAGTTCAGAAAAAGAAGCAAAGTAAACATAGGAATGTTGCACAACGAATAATCAATGGAAAGGGTGGTAATCGAACATCCACAAGTTTCGCACAACATTCGCTTAAAACATGATTCTATCAAGAACTCAAAGATGTACATTATAAAAAAGGGGAATAATACTAGTAGCATGTCAAAAAAAAAAACTCTTGCAGAGCGTTGAGCAAAATTCTTCTGTATTATCAAGGGTGTCATAGACGCATTGGATGCGTATTTACGATAACTGAAATCAACTATTTTTTTCGTCTTTTCAGCACGGATTGAATTTGGACCGCTCAAGCAAGGATAAAATATCACGTTACTGGTCATGATGCGATTTTTACCATGCTTCCTTGAGTGACATCTACGGCTGTGTCTCTCTCCATCTCCAACATCCCCCTCCCCCTCCACCCTCCCGCGCTGAGATCTTACGTCACCAGTAGGCTTCACGAATGTGGTCATCTGCCACAAATCAAACGTTACAGCATCACTAAAGCCTGTGCTAGCTGCTAGCGCAAATCAAACGCAAATCAAACAACCATAGCACAGTTTCCTTTACCCTCTCATAACGATATCGAAAACAGCCACTAGCATAGTGAACGCGGCTGGCACCATCCCATAGACATAACACAGGGGAACACCTGCCGGTTTACTTCAACTTCAAACACCGTCTACAGTACGTGATTTGCAAAACCCATTACTTGTTCGTCAAACCTTCACTTGCCCCAGTTTAACTGCAATGTTCAGACATGTGATGTGATGGGTCGTACCAAGGCGAACGCTGGTCAATGCAGATTTACTGACATTATCGAGGTCATTGCTGGCTGTAATGCACCACGAAAATAGGAGATTTTCATGTCTCAAAAACGTAAAAAAGGGGCCAAGTTCCCAGATTCTCTTCAGATATAGAGCGTAGTGCAAAGTTAGCAGATAATGTGTTCAGCTAGAGTTTGCTTTTGAAAAGTTTACATTCTCGGTGGAAAAATTCCATGATGCCCGAACACATCTCATGTGACCCAACTCATTGCCGCCAGCCGCACCGCCTGTCACTGAGGCGATGCGGCTGACGCCTATGAGTCGGGGTCATGCCAGGAGAACGATTGCTAGTCAAGCTCATTTTTCAGTTTTTTTTTAAGAATGCAAAGGTTGGATGTGAACCACAGAAACGACACACGGGACACAATCAGCATTACTTTAAAGCATAGCAACTGTTTGAACTCTCTCAAAACTGGATCAGCCAAAAATACTTTTTCCCCCTTTTGCACTTCATGAAGAGTGCAAATTATGCAGAGACCATGTCATTTCAAAAACGACACAATGCTTCCGCCCATTAAGCCAACATATGCGCACGACATGTGTCGGCCTTTATTTGCCCTCTTTACCGGTTATGTTACAGCTGCTGTCAGTGCTAATGCAGGTCATGTCAATAGAACCGACAAAGATAGGGCTGTTTTGCTATTTACATAGTGGAGAATCACCTTGAAGCGCAATGGGAATCTGAAAAGATGAAACATCACCCGAATAAAGCAAAAACGCTTTTTCAGAATGTTTCGCTTCATTTTCCAACAAATTTCCTTTGCTGTAGCGAAAAAAAAATTCACAACATTCTTCATTCCAGCCATATGATACAGAATTCTTCATTTTTATGCGAAGCTATATGCAGTCAACTTTTTGCCGTAAATGGGGTTCATTCCTCCCCCCCCCCCCCGCCCTCCCCTCCCCCGCTTGTTGTACAAACCAGCCGCATCCTCAAGGTTGCAGCTTTTCGCCGAATAGCGGAAATTGGCCTTCTTCAGCTAATTACTCCAAATACTTCGGCGCAACCATCGATTTTCCACTTTAGTCCTTTAGTTCATTGCTATGATTCACGGTTCCACTACTACCGATAATTATGGTGAAAACGCTGACATTTGAACTATGAACGCAGCCCGTAAAATCGTACTTTAAACATCGATGTCGAGAGGTAATTGTTCAACACGCCGCTATATTTTTCCGGTAAGTGCAGACAGAACCAGTATTTGATGGATTATGGGTGAAAGTCTCGCACTATTCATTATGTAGACAATCTCTTCTCGAAAAACAAAAAAGAGCAAGTTCTTTCCAGCTCTCTTTGGCATATTCGGAAGCCATGCAAAAGAAGAAAAAAAGAACTGCACAAGATATAGAATCCATTTGCATTTTCTATCAGAGCACTACCGACTGACCGAAAAAAGGGAATTTTTCACTACTGCCGGATCACAACCAAAGAGATCTGGACAACCATCGTTCTACAACCCAAACAACAACAAATGAATGAGTTAACTGTTCTTTGCTGGCATCAACATGATGAACTTAGAGATAAGAGCGATAACACATGTCGCACGATACTTTAGTGCTAAGCGGTAGCATTCCGTGACAACTGGTCACCAAGATTCCACTTAGAATGCGATCCACCATTTTTTATCGAACTGCTAGGCATTAAGAAAATGAAGCATGTAATTCCTGACAAATTGCACCCAATCACAAATATCAGATTATGATAGCAAATGAAGTGCAAAATGCAAGACAAAGGAAATCAGATTTTCGGTTTCACATCTTCAAAAAAGCATAAGGGCCGTAAGAAGACACTCACTTTGTAGCTGTGCGTTTAGATATAAATATCGCAAAAGTAAATCCAAAAACACTCTAAGAACAAGCAAATAAAAGCCCTCACCTTAACAAGGAGCGGAAAATGTCCTTTTGTTACAACTCGGAAACATACAAATGGTGATAGCAATGGAGCAGCTTTCAGTGGTACCTGAAATTGAAGAAAAGGATAGCTCAACTCATAGCAGCTAAAGAGAATGCTTTAACTCACTTTTTCTCTAAATGCATTGAACAAAATAAGGCCAAATAGATTGCAGAGGCACTGGGGCAGTACTAACAATGCTGTAAATCGTAGCAGGTACAGAAACGTTGCCCAAGCGTAACCATAGCTAAACAATTTGTAATTATTGACAGACTTGATCTAATCCGATCAGCGGCTCTCAAGCAATCCTATGACGCACTATTTTCCGTCTATCACTAAATTTAGCTAATTTGCAAAAAAAAAGAGATGTCGGACTTTGGCTTTCTTCAGCTAGTTTGTCAGCCGATTTCATGACCATAAACTAGGATGCTTTGATTGAATTAAATGATTCGATGATGCCGTGCACCACTTCAGAAGGTCATGTTCACTGGGAAATTAGCTAATGTAATACATCATGGATGATTTGGAAAAATGCTCCGAAAATAAGGTGAAAAAACATACTGCTATCAATACTCATAGGACTTTGAACCCATAATGGTTTTTCATCGGTTCTAGCACAAAATGGAAAAGTAATAAATTAGACAGAAATTAGCAAGTGCTTTATGGCAATAAAACCAGCAATTGAAATTATGATACTGACAGCTGATTCTAGCGTATGTCTCTCAACTACACTTCCAAAACAGTGTGAAACGAGACAAATGAAAAAACGGATTGAAAAATGAAAACAAAATAGAGGCTAACCTTTCAAATGGACTCGACGTAATAGGTATTTTAGGTTCAGTAAAAACTCCGCAAAAATAGGCAAATCCTAGGATCCACGTAAGCAATGCTGCACAATGCAATGCATGCTTCGCTTCACAGTTCATTACCTCTGCCCTGAAAAATAACATGGTATGGAAAACAGCCATATTGATAATCCGCAGAAAAGCACATGATAATCCCACATAGACACGCGAGACGCGAAAAACGCAAATGGCAAAGTGACTCATCAACGGAGATAGCAATAAACGGATTATTTAAACGAAACTTCAGACTTTCATCACGACAACACTAGATAGTCCAAATTAGCGTGCATTCAAGAGCATATCAGCCAAAACAATGAGTGGAATGGTAAGAAGAGAGCGTTCAACAGTGATAGTCGCCATCAGAACGTCAGCTACCAAACAATAACAACATTGGCCACGACTGAGAGAACATTCGGCCGCCTGCAGAATGCTCGACAACAAGATAAACAAGAGCTGGCACACGGCTCAAGGTTACCTAACAACAGGATGGTGAATGGGATGTAAACAAAATAACGCAGATAATAAAATGGCAAAAACGCAGAGTTGACACATTTGACACTCTTCTTTGACGCATTCATTACAGAAACAGCAGATATGACGCCAAAGATTCTGCTCGCGAGCGATAAAATCAAAATTTTTCCCAATTTTGCAGAACTGCACGCACTTTTAGGTTTACAAATAAAAAATGCGTAGAAACTGGTTTGGATGGGCAACTGCAACAAAACATAAAAAACATATGCCATCATTAAAAACATGCCTATTCAACCGTCAAAACAAAAACGATGTCTAAATGTATAGTTCAAAAACCTCACCAAACCATATACCGAGAATAAACACCTAGCACAGCTTTTTACGAAAAAAAGTGCAATAAAGAGAATTCAAACACTGCAGTGGAAGCCAATTTATTATTACTCAAAATGCCAATCAAATAATCGTAAGCCGTAAAGCAGATTTTTTTCAAAAAAAAAATCCCCTTTCGCAAGTCATTTTTTTTTCAAAAAAAATCCCCTTTCGCAAGTCATTTCTCACAAAATTCGCAGTAATAAAAACTTGGGCGCTGTACACGTACAAAAAGCAGATGATTCACGGTTACTAAAACTTCGCTTTAAAAAGCTAGACGTTTGAGAAAAGCACAAAATTCAAGGCTTCTATGAGAACTTACAACTCCCCTAACAAGATGGAAAAAGCTTCATTGAGCCGTCCACATTCAATTCGCTGGTTCATAACCAATAATGTGACAAAAGTCTCCAAAAACTTCCATATACCATGAACATTTTCAACAAATTTCATTGCCATGCGTTTTAGCTGCCAAGAGAGGCGCGAACGATGCGATGAGAAAAAAAAAGAATTGCATAGATGGCTCCAAATGGAACTTGCACAAAAAGCTAACAGCTTTATCGACTGCATTTAGAATGGAAGAATGGGTCTTGAATTCAATTTTCTTTGTTCATTTTATGCTGATTACCTGGTAAGGAGATAATTTTCTCCCATTATCTGTACTAATTTAGTACCACGCTAAGCCATAAAATAAACAGCAAATTATCACGGTATTTCATATAAACACGTTTTTTTAGTAAAGAATGACGCGACCTAATGGCGCAAATCCATTATCAATGACACAATGAAGGACTAAAGGGGCAATCGAATTCTATAGATTACGACGGCATTTTGAACGTTGTTTCGGCGACCAGTCATCAGGATACCAAGGGCATGAATGGGAAGAAACTGAAAGGTGTGGCCGAATCAGTGTGATCACCTAGTCTCCGAAAAAAAAAACTTGTCATATGACCATTCCAAGCAGTCTAAATATTCCTAGCAGCTGATGAAAGATAGCGAGAAGTATGAGAGGCACCGAAACACAATACATACAAAAAAAGAGCAATCGAAAGTAAAAAGGAGTACAATGAACCTTAAATCAAGAGAAATGAATCATCAAGTGCATAGGAATGTTTAGTAAACAGAATTATTCTATCCTACTCCACTGTAATTATCTGACTGCTATAAATCGGATTTGACAAGTTAAATAAGAGCAGTTTTTCTTTGAAAAACAATGCTGAACACATATTTCAAGAAAAACTGTTTTCACTTGCAAAATGCATTCTACTCCAATAATAACTGTGTCACACTTGGGTGTCACAGTATAGTGCAGATAATTGTTGACCAAATGTGAACAAGAGCAAGAAGTGCGATGCCATATCGACGCAAGCAGGCGCGATTCTTATAAAATTTATGACTCTAGTCAAACACTCTTGACTTATAAAATGAAGGCAGCTAGCGAAAAAAGAGTTATATTCACATGCTCATTCTCAAGACATACGAGATAAAAAAAAGATAACGGTGTGTCATCTCAAATGACTGGATGACTCATGTTTTAAACATAAGCAATCAATCCACCAAACACTATCTTCCCACCAGATGGCGTCGCTAGAGCGGAGCAGCTAATGTGACTATAGCTGGCGGAGGCCGAGGCGTCGTTCGTGACACAGACAACACAATATGGATGATTCGCCGTCAAGCCATGAGAAAACAAAAATGTACGAAGAGAAAGAGAGAATCTTCGCCGAACCGCCGCACTCACCGAAAGGCAAGGCAGCCTTGAGAGGAAAGTGATGGATCGTAGAATGGCAGTTAAATGAGTGGGACACACTGCAATTCGTCCACCAATCTGCCAAAATGTGAGAGATAAGAGATAGGGAAACGAATGTAAACATGCGAATCAGTCAGGAAACTGTTGCCCGGTTACAACATGAGGGTATTGTGGTACCATGAACCAACGTAGACTATCATTATGGCTATCAATCCTTACTGAGACGTAATTGAGTCAAGCCTGATTTATTGGATTCTGGACATGCACTTTCAGCGGCATAATAAAAGAGAAATAGATTGAGGACCACTAGTCTGCAAAACGCCCTCAACGATAAACTACGAAATTAGTTATCCGTTAACGTTCAGTCTAGTTACAAGAAGTTCAAAAAAGCAATAAATGTAGCCTTTCTTTTGAGCCTAAGTTCACACTGATCCGTAAGCTCCGGAATAGTTTCATACAGCCCACAATTCGAGCGCTGTGCTGAAATCGTTCCGGAACTTACGGATAAGTATGAACCTAGCCTTAACGCCCCAGGCAGAGTTCACGCAATTTCATCGCCGCGATTCATCGCTACAAGACAAGTGTTACGAGTTCACTGCATGCCATTCTTCTTGTTTTCGGTTGTGGTAGTTAGTCACGATTAGTGTGTTGAGAAACTATTACAAACGAAATGCAAGAAGCTCGGATGCAATGAACTCGTATCACTTGTCTTGTAGCGATTGAATCGCGACGATGAAATCGCGTGAACTCTGCCCGACGGCTAACGGAACAGGAGACCCCTTCTACTCAGATTGGCCGTTTCATACGAGATGTGTATTAGAAGATACGGCATAATGTGCTGATTACGAACCAGTCATCAATATCTGCGCAACGTTTTCCTATGAGAAGATAAGCGTTTCTTCGGGCAAAATCAAACGCGCGTTTGAAATGAAACCATTCAGAACGAAGTGCTCTTGCCAGATAAAGTATGTCATCTCATTCGAACACATTAAAATTCGTTTAAACGGTTTAATTTCAGACGCTTCAGATTTCTCCTCAAAAAACACTCATAATTCCTCACAAGAAGTTGTTTGGCAGATAATGAAGACAGTTTAAAATCAGCACATTATGCCGTGTCTGCTGATAAGGATCTCTTATCAAAACAACTTTCATTAGAAGGGCTTTTCAAGTAAGATGTACAGGTTCCATCCGCCCGAAGGGATTCTGTAATCGGAGTTTCATGCCTCACTGTATCGCGCTACACTCTCAAAAGCTGCAAACGGTGAGCGATATAAATACATCAGTGAGATCTGCACACATATGATGACTGTCTGTCTCTCTTAAATACGATTAGGATTAGAATGACGCGATAATAATCGGGGCATGTGTGTGTGGTTGCGACGCGCGCGATGTGCCGCAATCGCGCAATCAAGAAAACAAATCAAACCCGAAACGGGTTTCGGTTTAATGGCGTCGGGGCGTGAACGACCGGTGAGGCATGCGTCTGTGCGGCGACGATGACAGAAAGAGGCCGAAAAACCTTGAACCGCACACCGCAATTGATAATGGCCGGGTGGTTGCGATCATTCTAAGAAAGAGAAGAGAGACAGGGGGAATAGTCGCGACAGAGGCCATTCGGCTCGGCTAGCGCAGCAGTGTCTAGCGGCAAACAAAACATGAAAACGGATTAGCGCTGCACAGAAGGGGGAACGGAGAGGGGTCAGCGTTTCAGCAGCTCGTTCTCGTTGTGCGCTTTGTGGTCGCAGTGCAGAACGAAAACGAGCTGTAGAACAACAAAAACAGATGGACAAAAGCGAGTGCAACAAACACACACAGATAAAACCCTACAGACTCGAAACATCAGATCGCATTTGCTGTTTCGAGTCTGCGAGTGTTGTCTGTGCTGTTTGCAAACGAATGTGTCTCGTTTTTTCGGACACTGCAACACTCTCTGACGCACTGAGACCGATTTCGTGTGAGACTTTGTGAGAAAAATGCATGCATTCGCTTAGAACTACGAACAATTGATGCATATATCATCGGGAAACGGAATTCGAATGGACTTCTAGCAATAGAAGAGAACTTTTTTGTATTAAGAGTATAGAAGAAAAAAGAGAGGAGTATAAAAACCGACAAAGACGATATGGACTAAACAGCTAAGCCCTTTATGTCAACACATAATCGAATTTCCGGTACAAAAGCAGCGTCTTCCATCGGCGGGCAAACAAAAATTGATAGATACCAGAGAAATGAAATGTTTACTCTCGGAGGGCAAACAATCTAAAGTTTACCTTTGAGATTCGCTTGCTAATCACCCAAACTGCTCCGATGTTTTTGCATCGCCTGAACGTTTTGACCAAAGCTGAGGAAAGGAAGGTGAAAGGTGAGGACGATTCAAGTAAGAAGATAATCCTTTAATACTGTAATGATAAAGCTCTATCTCGGCAGATGATTTAGCGAATAAACGGATGTGACGCATCATATGACTAATCGATCAACTCCGATGGGTTTTGGGCATGATAATGAAAAACAGTTATGGTTTGATATGTGAATGGATATATAATGTTTCAAGCTAAAAATAAACCACATCAAAAATTCCCCGAAGATTTCAAAAAACAACCTTCTGGAACATGATATGTAAATAAGCCAAGAAAGAGTGAAAAAATTCAACAAGTTTGGAAAATTCTACATGAAGATGTAGGAAAATATAGCTTGATGTGTAAACGCATAGACGACAAAGCAAAACCATACACCAATTGTGCTCACGATGCACTTTTTTAGATTGTTTGCACTTGCTATCGATTGTAGTTAGAAAGAATAAGCTTTCTATAAATTCATGAAGAGTTGAGAACTTGTATATTTTTTCATGCTACATTTAATAAGAGTGGAAAATGAGCAACTGCAAAGAAAAAGTAATGTGCCTGTAGAAAATACGATACAACTGTGATTTATTTGTAGTTTGTAGCACGCAGATTTTTTGGACAGAAGAAGGCTGCCTGCAGATGTTACGTATGCAAATTAGAGATGGAAATCTCAAGAAAGCTCAGGAATAGAAAATGTGGCACCGATGAAAGATATGCAAAAACCCACAACAATAGTGAGAAACTCGCCATGCTAGTCGAAGGTCAATTTGACTGAGCCAACGCAATAATTAGTGACCTGTAATTGTGCTAATAGATGTGTAATCTTCTCAAACAACAGAAGAGATCCACTCGCGGTTTCAAGTCGTTTCCACAAAATGCTGGAGAAAACTATACATCAAGGATGACAGCAAGCAAGTCACTTGAATTGAAATCCAAGAAGATGGATGCTAAATTAATATGAGAGACAATGCTTAGAGGAAAGAAAGACAAAAAAACCTAAGAAACAGTTTGATGGATCAAAAATCCGAGAAATCCCCAAACAGTGAATGTTGAACACCAGCAACGCGTCAATGCGTCCGGCTGGCACAAAGTGCAAACACCAACGGCCAACGTCCACTCTGCAGCCGTTTCTGAGCAAAATTTTCCGGAATAAAAGCGTAGCAGAGCCGGGAACAGTTTCGTCGAGGACATTTGGGTGCCCCCGACGCGCAGTGTGCCGGGTTGTAAAGCGCGAGCAATGGCCTCGGTCGAGGCAAGTGCTACCCGCCGGAAGGCAACGTTACACTTCAGCGAAACGCCGGGAAAAACTTGTTCTTTCCTTGTTTTAGTTGGGCGAGAAGGATGGTGTTGTACCCTGAACCGTTATGTTTACAAAGTACAAAAGTACGAAGACCTTATGCGGGTTTTCACCGAAAAATTCTGTGGTTGAGTAAAAGTACAGACACTATAGCACTGATGCGAAGTCAATCAATCGTCGAAGGGCGAACCGGTTCGAAATCTGTGACAGACGGAACTGCGCTGCGGTCGCGGAAAAGTTTAGGGGGGAGGGAGATAAGACGCTTTGCATCCAGTGTTTACCGGTGTCCTCAAAGTTCAAGTACTTTTTGCACGGAGGGCGATCTCAAACTCGAGCAGTTGCTGTGGTTTCAGCTGTTTTCTTCGCGCTGAAACGAGTTGTTCGAGCAGAGTTCAAATGCAATAACAAGTGTTAAGTATTACAGCACTAATTCTTAATTTCAAATGTTCTCGATATCAATCAAGAGTGCAATTTGTGTCTTTACACACTAAGTCACAAATCGAGGACTTTAGACGTCTAATAGTCGCGGCGATCCAAAAATTCGGAGGTCTGAGGAAATTCAAAAAGCATTTTTTTCTTGGCTTCGCAACATGCACATTGCGCGTCAAATTTTGGATTTTTGTCAATCACCGACATTACTGCCTTGAGGTATTCAAAAGTCAAAGGAATGTAAGAGACATTGAACTAGATGGGTCTCGTCCGAATAATTTTCTAGGAATTTACGTGTAAATGCGTGTCGTGTGCAATCGCACAAAACGACTCGATTATTTGACCGGCCCCTAAATGAGCTAGATAAGACCGCACCAAGTTTACAGTGTGTGATGAAGGGATCTCTCCTAAATTAAGGTACAGACTATTGCATAACGTTGGAAAACGCTTGTGCATACTTGTGTAGCGGCGCGAGTCATGGCTTCACAGACTACAGAACAGAATAGGCAGAATAGGAAATGGCTCAAAAAGTAAAATATGACTGACCTACAAGAAACACACGTTACAGAGTTATGAAATGCTGTTGTCCGCAGGCGTTCCGAACTTTCGTGAACGTCGAAGTATATTACAAGTGCAGTATGCATAATGTAGGGAGAGAGTTCTGCACTTTTGGGATCTATGATTTTGTGAGCCAACACCATAAATCACGACTACATGCCTGGTCAACAACATAAGCTCATGTGAAAAATTAGTAAACATTATTTTTTACATTTGGACTATTTTTATACTTATAAAATATAGGTAGAATCAGCAGGAGGAAACCACTAAATATGAACAAGAAGTCGAATTTGTGCAACTACGGATTTAGCCTTTTTCGGTCATCCAATTCAAGACTTATTGTTAGAGACTTGAAAACGCTTTGCACACGTCTAGGCAGACTCGAACTTGTTCTTTTTTCTGTCTGCGAAAGGTAGATCAGCCAAATGAAATATATAACAAGTATAAACTTGTTAATCATGTTAACATAACTATGAACGATCGGGAAGGATGTAAAAAGTAATTGAATAAAATCAAAAGATTAATGTCATGTTAACATGCTAATCAAAAAAGAAGCGAATAATTGAAATTTGTCTGACTCATCTACTTCTTTTGGGGAAGAAACCCTTGGCCTTATGAATCCATACTTGAAGTATTTACGGCAGCACAACAGCCTCCTTTCGTTTTAACTGCCTTTTGTTGTCGAGTATTTGTTTGAATTGCGAAAGATGGACAAAGAATTTGAAAAAGTAGTGTCTTAGAAATAGATGTACACCCACATATGTATAAAAGTGGTAGAAGACGAATGGGAACCGGAAGAAAAAGGTAAAGAATGTTCTAGATGTGCATAAACAAGCGGAGCTAGCTTATATTTATGGTGTATGCTAGCAATTTCACAGAATCCGATTCATGGTGTGAAAAACCAGCAAAACAATATGTAAACGCATAGATCAGTGGCCTAGACAGAAGCCATTAGTAGCATTTACCGCGCTATTTGCAATTTTTCTCTTTATCTGCTATATAACAAAAAACTCATTATGGACAGTGGTAAACAAATGAATAGGAGCAAATCCGGCATAGAAAAAACTACTGTAAGCGGTTTTCGATGTACAAGCTAAATACTTATTGTTAACAATGATAAATATGACATACTAGCTGGCTTGCCCGGCTCCGCCGGGCCTGCCAGCTAGACCCGTGTACGTATGTTCCGAATAGAAATTTTTATCTCTGAACCGATTGGGACCGAACTTTGCACACATACACTTCGGGGCAGGGAGCGTGTCACAGCCCACTTTTCGTTATCGATCGATGTCGATTTTACCGATTTTTTGCAAAATTCGAGCTAGAGGGCTGGGATTTGGCAGAGGGGGGTAATCGAGCATGCTGATCACCCCGAAGGGGGTGATCAGCATGCTCGATTACCCCCCTCTGCCAAATCCCAGCCCTCTAGCTCGAATTTTGCAAAAAATCAATAAAATCGATATCGATCGATAACGAAAAGTAGCCTATGACACGCTCCCTGCCCTGAAGTATATGTGTGCCAAGTTTGGTCCCGATCGGTTCAGAAATAAAAATTTGTATTCGGAACATACGTACATACATACAGACAGACAGACATACAGACAGACAGACAAACAGACATTCAGCTTTATATATAAGATTCTTCCAATATTTCTTAAAATATTGTTTGGATAAAGCGCTCAAATTCACCATCATAGAATGAATACCCTTCAATTCAATGGAATTGGCGGCTGGAAGGCGGCCGCTCGCGCCCGCAACGCATTCTGCGTCTCTCTCGCGAGCGTGCTCTCTGTTCATTCTCTCGCCTTGATTAGGCCTCGCCCCACCTTCCAGCCGCCAGTCCCATTGAATCAAAGAGATGTATGATATTGGCGTACTGTATGAGCGGTTATGTGGAAGTTGTGAGAGTTTTTTTTGAAGTCCTAAAATTGATTTTATGAAATTGTGTTTCCTCAAACCGCTTTTTTGATTGATTTGCAGCATAAAACAATAAATAAACAACTAATAAATTAATAAATAAATAAGTAAATAAATACAATGATTAGTTAAGTAATTCTGATTGTAGATTATCAAAAATTTTAACTCGAGAAAAATCAAGTCACCTTTGTAAAATTTTTTTGCAATTCGTGGCTGCAGCCATGCTCCCTTTTTCAAACAGAACTTTGGGCGCGCGCTTCTCTCCCCCCCCCCCCCTCCTAGCTTGAACTCTCGGACCGCCACTGGCATGAGAATTATAATGATAACAGAAATTTATACTATAAGACACTTTTAAAAAGTTTTAACTACAAATATGAGCTGACCTCTATAGCCAACACCGAGGTCGATACGAAGTTTATTGTTAAATTTTCATTCTCTAATATTTTAGATTTTATCCAAACAGAACAACAATAGCTGGATTTCAAAACCAGAAATTTCTCAGGAGACGCACAAGTAATCTGTGCAGATTCTTGTGAGATGTAACATACCCTTCGCTTTTCCTCCCCTCCCATCCCCGCCCCCTCCCCCCTTTTCCCATTGATATTATAATACTTTTTTAGATCGTTCATTATTTGATTCCACAAAATACTGATTCACCACATGAAAATAGGCTTATGTGTAAGGGAATACTAGAGATCAAAATTCTCTTGATTGCCTTTAAAAAGGAAAAATATCAAAAAACGCGTGGGCTCTATTAATGCACACAGTTGAGTCAGAAAATTTGCATACCTCTGAGGCATGCAATTATTTCGCGTATGAACGGCATTTTGTCAGTAGGCATGTGGAATCGTAAGTTGTTTTTTCCAATGTTCGAAGAAATGGGACTTTTGAATGTTGCAACCGTGGAACAAAAAATGAGTGGTGGGGGGGGGGGGGAGGGAGGCATAAGAATGATAGTCCAAGGAGAAGGAAGAAGAGCGATTGGGTAAAATGAGTTATTATGAAACTCAGACTAGCTAATGACAGTTTCGAGTTGTATGCAAAGTGGAAACTCTATAACAGCTTGAAGGTATTTTTCTGAAACGGAAGGAGACATTTTCAAATCTCTACTTTTACGAATAGGTTATGTAAAATTTTCTATTAGTGGTAGAAGACGATTATGGCATCATATAGCTTTCTAAATCCTGCAAAATTTAGTTATCAGGTTGATGCAAAAGGAATGGCCGATTTGCGAATTCTCACTTTGATGTGCTATAACTTTCTAAAAGATCCACATTTCTGAATGCGGTAAAGACTCCCAGAAGCAGCAAACCTATCGCAATACAGCGCATACTTATTTATACTCAAACCATAAACGGGAAGAGAAATACGGACTAAAAGACAAAAAAGGTTCTTCTGCGGGAACCTTGTTTTTGACAAATCATAACTTCCTTCAAAGTTTCTTAGTATGGATGATAAGTGGCCTATCTTGTAGCGGCATGCCAGTAATACAAAATACAATAACAAGAATTCGGACAAAGAAGTTTGCGAGGAAGAAAAAATTAAAATTTAAAATTTCTCAGTTTTTTCAACATTTTCTCAGTGTGCCTTAA